TCATCTGGCCTCCTCACAACTATCTATACTAGTTGTCTCTGTGTATAATAGATCATCACTATCACTAATTATGTTTCTCTGTTGTTCTTCCTTTTTCACCGCTCGTCCTCCGCCCACCCCCTCCTTCTCATGCAATATTCACATTTCATACGAACTTTCTATATCCGACAGAGCAGAATTGGGGGCTTGGGGTAGGGGTAGGGGTAAGGGTAGGGGTAAGGGTAGGGTTAGGGGTAAGGGTAGGGTTAGGGTTAAAGTTTAAGGTTAGAGTTAGGCATAACTGTGAGCTGCTGGATTTACAAAATGATCATCGTAAACTCTTTTAACCGTCATAGAGAGAATAATTAAAGTCTGTATGGCCCACATACTTATCTTCTGTATCCATGTCAATGTCCATGGCGAGCGGGAGCGCCCAACTTCCAATTGCGTCTTTTTCTACTCCGTCCATCCTCCTGACTGTTACCTTGGTCACCGCGGAAAATGGCTTTGATTGAGAATTGAGAATGAGAGAGAACCGACGATGACAGAGAGCGAAGGCAGCTGTATTTCGCGCCACGAAATTATGCCAGTTTTCAAACAGTGAACATGTCACCATAAGCAATATTTGTAGTATTGTTTAGGGGGGGGGGATTGGTAAGAAAATCATTTAAATGATTTTGTAAGGTATCTTGAGTTTTTGTGCAGTGGTTGGATAATAGTATTTCTAGGTACAATTTTGGAAGAAGGACAAGCCGATCCAAGCAAAGCCAAATTGGCATTCATAGGCTGCTCCCTGGAGGCCAAGGCCTATGAGTTCGCAAAATTGTATTTGCTGTAGATCTAAATCAATTATTAATTATGAAAACATTATATATTATTATTCATATCAGATTCTTCATAATACAAAGTTTTCCAGCTTAAACTTAAACAGATGGCCACCCTCATCACCCCACCTTTATCTCTTTTTTATCCTCTCTCTCTCTCTCTCTCTCTCTCTCTCTCTCTCTCTCTCTCTCTCTCTCTCTCTCTCTCTCTCTCTCTCTCTCTCTCTTTCTTTCTTTCTTTCTCGATAGCTCTTTATCTCTCTATATTTTCTGTGTATAGAGCTACTCATCCCAACAAATGTCTATCTATCTATCTATCTGTCTATCTGTCTATCTATCTATCTATCTATCTATCTATCTATCTATCTATCTATCTATCTATCTATCTATCTATCTATCTATCTATCTATCTATCTATCTATCTATGTTTGTCTCGTTGTTGTTATTTACCAGCACATGATGACAATAGTCGTGGAGTTAACATTAAGACTTACTTTTTGTTCACTCTTTCTGTATAGACCACCACCCCCACCACCACCCCTCCCACAACCAACATCACTCCTTTTTCTATATAAAATTTTAAAATGCGAGTGGTTTGCGGGTGCTCTGTTGCGGTTTGCGCACAGAATTCTGTGGGTTTGCGCCTTAAGATCTTTCTAATTAAATATCTATATCGTCTTGATTTCCCACTCCTTTTTATGTTTGTGGCTCTCTCGGTCTACTAGATCTAGTTGTAGTCTTCGCCGTTTGTACGACGTGAATTTATTGTCTTACAAGTGCCGAAGTAAAACTCTTACTTGAAATATTTTTAAAAAAGAAATCAACAACAGAGACAATTTTTAATTTCATTAGCATAGCGTACTTCCAAGTAAAAAGGGTTTATTGGTGCGCCATTCATCTCTCTCTCCTTTCATCTGTCTCTCTGTCTCCCTGTCTCTGTCTCTGTCTCTCTCTCTCTCTCTGTCTCTCTGTTTCTCTGTCTCTCTGTCTCTCTCTCTGTCTCTCTCTCTCTCTCTCTCTCTGTCTCTCTCTCTCTCTCTCTCTCTCTCTCTCTCTCTCTCTCTTTCTCTCTAATCTCTCTCTCACTCTCTCTTTCTCTGTCTCTCGGATCCCTCTCGGCATACCCCCCTGCTCTCTCTCTCTCTCACACACACACACACACACGAGCGCGCGCGCGCGCGCGCGCATACACACTCTCTCCCTCGATATAAATTGCATATCTATCTATCTATCTATCTATCTATCTATCTATCTATCTATCTATCTATCTATCTATCTATCTATCTATCTATCTATCTAT